AACCAGCGACCAAACCCCGCCTCGGCACACGAGTGTACTCCTTTTCCACAGGAGCTCCGAAAGAGGAATCAACGTGGTGTCGACGAACCTCTTGGAATAACTCTTAAGCACGAACAATCGATGCCCCAAACGACTCCAAGTCCCAACGGGCAAAGAAGAAAGTGCACTGCCCAGTGACACACCTGTAACTGCTCTGATCTCTTGGTTCTGAACAATCCTGATGCTGCCACGAACACACAACGACTGCTTCTTGAAGCAAACGGCCTCTCCTTGTCTGCCATTCGTGAGCTTCAGCCCGCCATCATCGGGTAACACATACCATCCTGCCCTGTACAGCTTTCCCAACGAGATCAGTGGCATCGTAACATCGCTAATAACGAATCTCTCCTTGAACCTAAGCTGGCCTACCTGCACTTCAGCAATGCGAACCCCAGCAGTACGAAGCGGATTCCCTTGAGCATCAACGTACAAACCCTTCATGGCCTCACAGTCTTCAACGCCCACGTGCCCGAAGCACATAGGCAACGCACTGCAGTCGGCCCCAGAGTCGAGGATTATGTCCAGCGTCTTGGGAGCCTTAGATACCGCACGCACTGACAACGGAATCTCATGCGCTGACGAACTCTGCACTGACATCGGAATCACATGCGCTGACGAACTCTGCGCTGACATCGGAATCACATGTGCACGATTGTTGCTGTTAACTGGCACTGCTGCATCGGCAACTGCATCACCAACGCTCTGAGCAGAACCCTCATGCACTGACATTGTACTGGAAATCACATGCGCTGAGTGCGAACTCTCATGCACTGACACTGGAATCTCATGCGCTGACGAACTCTCACGCACTGAAGTGGGAATCACATGCGCTGACGAACTCTCACGCACTGACATTGGAATCACATGCGCTGACGAACTCTCATGCACTGACATTGGAATCACACGCGCTGAAGAACTCTCATGCACTGAAGTCGGAAGCGCCTCATCGACACTCCCCGCCTTGAAATCATCGAAGGCATCATCCTTCCGAGCACAGATCGCACAAAGACACTCGCTGTCTAAGTCGAATGCACTGTACTCCAAAGTAATGCTCCAGGCTTCACTGCTGGAACCGCTCTCATCATCATCGACTGCAAGATCAAAGAACTCTGCACTAGCATGAAGACAACCTGCAGCCTGAACCGCACGAAGAACGCCTCCAAACCCCAACACACACTCTTCAGCAGAGTCTGCATCTGCATCTGCATAATCATCGATCTCCGTGAGGTCGGTGAGGTCGAGGTCGGAGTGATCGAATCTCGAAATCATCTGGATTCGCCTAGGGGCTTGGGCATTGGAGGCACTGTGACTCGGCGCAACTGTGGACGCAGATGCTGCCACGGACGCTGAATCATTCACTGTAGTCGCATCATCTCCAGAAGCAACCTGTTTGATACCCTTTGCCATGTCACTCTTGTACTTGTAGCAATCTCTCTTCCAGTGCCCTCTCTTCCCACAATACAAGCAAACTTCACTGTCGTTCTTAACGTTCCCCTTGCCTTTGTTCTTGCCTTTGTTTTGCTGTTGATTGTTCCATCCCTTTCCTTGGTCCTTGCCTTTGGGATACTGCTGATGCTTGCCTTTGGCATCCTTGCCTTTTCCTTTGTTGTAATCCTTGCCCTTGTTCTTTCCTTTGGGATCCTTTCCTTTGTTCTTTCCTTTGTACGACAGAGCACCAATAGCATCAACATCCATCGGCTGGAACCCTGCAGCACCACGACCATCCCCCAACGAGTACGTAGCTGCAACTGCGGTGTCCCAGCGTGTTTGAGCATTGTCCCAACGCAAAACCAAGGAGCGAAGGTCTGCATACCTTGTTTTCTCTGTCACAGCAACGTTCAAATGTTGTTTCAGTTGCCCTGTTACACATCTCAGCAAGCATGCAATCTTGATGTCTTCACTAAGAGGAGTAGAGCTTTGGGAGTCGTATTCGTTGAACGCCGCTTCAAGCTTCATCATCTGCTGTGAATACCCTTGTTTGTGATCAAACGATGGCCATTGATTAATCATCTGTAGCAATGCAAGCATTCGAGATCTGCTGCCAGGAAGGAGGTCTACAAGCAAAGATCTATAGGCTTCGTATCCATTTCGATCTGGAATCGATCGAAGCAATCGTTTCCCACGCTCATGCAACAAGCCTGAAAGAATACCAAACATCAACTGCGACCTTTCTTGATCCTTCAGGCTGAGAGAAGACATCTTGATCTCGTTGCTTCCTTGCGCCTTGATCAAATCAATACCCGCAGCAAAGCCATGGTCCAAAGTGATGATCCATGACTCAAGTCCCCAGCTCCAGTTGGCCCATCGAGCCAATTCTTCGTCTCTAGTCTTTGCTTCAAAAGGACTTGGGGCATTCAGGACCTTTGTCAAATCCTTCCCACGCAGACTCTCAAGAGAACTCTGAGCCTGAGCACGCTGATCTGACTGATCTCTCATCATCTGTAAAATCGCTTGCTGATTTTGCTGCAACGAAGCCAAAATCATCACTAGCTGTTGCTCTGCTTGCGTAGCACCACCAGGAGACGCACCCCCAGAAGCATTTGCAGCCTGCGCGGCCTGAGCCGCCTGAGAACCCATTGCAGCTTGAGGGAGCTGCGAAGCCATCTCTGCATCTTGCCCGAACTCTTCAGCACCAGGCACAGACATGGGCGAATCTACGGCTTCCAAAGCCTAGCAGACACCCAACACAAAGTCAAAAGACACGCTTCAAAGCCTGGGCCCCTGAACTTCCAAAAGTCACCCAGAAAACCAAAGTTCCCTAGAGCGCCGATGCGCTCCGCTACCATGACAATTTTCGCTCGGACAAAAGCGCCTGCATGAATCTCAAGTCTTCAACTGTACAACTGAAAACGGAGCTCAAAGCTTTAAAGCAAAAGAGGATTTCAAGTACCGTCCAACGGATACCAAAAAAGTACGTGTATATACGGATGCAAAGTTTTGCAGATTTGGCCCATGACGAGGATCCTGCACATCGCTGCTGCATTCGGTGCCAGCCAGCACCCAGCAAGCTTGGGGGCATAACCGAAGTGCCAAACATTGGCCATGAAGTCCGTTTCCCCTGGCACGGCCTCGATGTCGAGCATCTTGTCGGAGGGAATGAACTTCGCGAACAAGGACGATGTTTCCTCCTTGCCCTGCTTGGCAGCAATGATTGCCTGTGCACGCTGCTCGGCCTTGAAGCCTGCACCCTTCTTGTAAAGTGAGGCGAACTCAGACAGTCGCACGGCAACCACGTCCAAGGTCTTCCAAGTCTCCACAGCACTGCTTGATCGAAGGACCCAGGGCTCGTCAATGTGATTTCCGATGCTCTCCAAGGATGACAGCTCTGTCATCTGCCCCCACTTGTCGGCAGGAACCCTGAAGATCTCGTGTCCGCCTTTCGAACCGCTCTTCACTTTCTTTGCTGCCGCCTTGGCCAAAGCGGTGGCCTCTGAAGCAGCTTTCTTTTCTTCTTCTCGCTTCTTCTTTGCCTCGTCCTGCTGCGCCTTTCGCTTCTGCTGGCTCTGGAAGTTCTTGGCATCGGTTGCAACTTTTTGCAGCCCCCTGGCAAACTGGTCAATCACAGCTGCGTGGTCCTTCATCTCCGTCGCAATGCGCTCCAGCAAAAAGATGCAGGTGGTCTTCTCGCTGATCGAACGGAACCAACCCAGGGCAGCACGTGTGAAGCAAGTCGCCTTGCTGTTCACAGGTTGAACAAGATCCTTGAGCAGTTCGCACTTGTCGCAGAAAGCCGTTTGGGCACGAGCAACAACCTCGGGCAAGTCCTTGAGCTCCTCAGGCTTGCCCTCGCAAGCCGGGAGTTCGACCTCCGTCTTCCAAACCTCCAACAAGGCCGTGCCGGCCTCCATAGCTTTGAGGTACGACAGCTTCACGGCATCCTGCTTGTCGTTGGCCATCTCGGCATGGGCCTCCTGGATTTTCCCGCCGACGGTGGCCATCAGGTTGTCCAAACCTTTCATCTTCTCCTTGAGCTTGTGCACCATGGTGGCCTTGTGTGCCTCGAATGCCGGGCCTCTTGCCAACTTCTCCAGCCGCTTTCGCTTCTTCTCATCCTGGCACA